GACAGTGCTTAACCCCCCCCATCCAGCTCTGCCTGAAGCAGCATGCCTTTAGCAGCTACAGAACTCCACAGTCAACAAATTTTTTTAAGTTGGTTGCTTTGTACCTTACAACTAAAAATCCCTCTCCCTAACATGAAGAAGACAGACACAAGGGAACCATCCATAGCTCCTTTTCCCAGCACCAGCCTTGAGAAGGTAACTGAACAAAAGAGAGTCCCTAGGTCTGTCATGTTTGGGAAATGCGACATACTGGATCTCCCTCTTGGGGATGCTTGATGCAAATTAGCTTTATCGAGGCTCTCAGAACTCCTGCCACAGAGAAACATGTTTAACCCAGAGTTCCCAAACACCTTTGACCACAAATCAAAGACAGTTTTTAAAAACTCTATTTGCATTTCCCCACCAGGTTCTTTGAGCAATGGACATTGATAGGGAATTTAATAAAATAAAAACAGGCACCCGCTCTGCTCGGCCCTGGACTCTACCTTCCTTGCTGCTGGGCTGCGGCACTGGATCCGTCACCAGAAAAAAAGCTTCTGTTCCGGTCGGTTGCTGGGTCTCCACCTCGGCTGTGTGCCCAACTGGCTCTGGGGTCTCAGGGAAGTTACTCTGAGTCTCTGTTGCCTGGACTGTAAGATGTGGACAATGGTCACTCTGGCCTCATAGCGCTGGGGCGAGGATCGAAGGCCCTAATGTGGACCTGTGGCCCTCATGTAATAAGTGCTGCAGGTGTTTTGTCCAAGGGGAAAGGACAAAGGTGTTTGTGTGGCACCGGCTGCAGCAGGAAAGCCTGAAAGCCACCACCATGCCTGTCATCATAGGGTGGCTTTGCTTATTTCCTGGCCCCTGTGCAGATGCCAGGTGGTGAGGAAGATCAAAGGAGTCTTCCACGGCAACGTGAGAGAAGGTCCATGCAACTATGGCATGAAAAACCCTGACAAAGCAAGTTGCAGGACAATCCGCCTGCTATCCTTGAGTTCACTAGGAGTACAGTGGGCGCAGGCAGTGGGCGCGTGCTCTGCAGAACTGGTGCTGTTGTAGGGTGGGGACCACTCCCTGTTGGTTGTGGGCCTCTCCCAGAAGGCAGAGGGGAGGAGCAGGGATCGTGGGCAGAGGGATTCAGTCTTGCCTTCGTTTTTTTTTCTTTCCTGGAAGTTTCTTTCCTGTGCTTCTGTGCTCTTGGGGCCACTAATCATTCATTTGAAAAAACTGGGGGGAAGCTGAGTGTGATGGTTTACGCCTATAATCCCAGCACGCTGGGAGGCTGAGGCAGGAGGATGTTAAGTTTGAGCCCTGCCTGGGCAACCTGGTGACTTAGTGAGACCCTGTCTCAAAATAAGAAATTTAAAATAAGGGCTAGGGATGAAGTTCCGGTGAAAGGCCCTATGTTCAATTCTCAATTCAAGAAAGAAAGAAAAAAGGAGGCCTTCTTTGAGTTCTACTCAAAAAAAGTTCAAATTATTTGAAAATTAAAAAAAAAAAAAAAAAGTCTACTCAAAAAAAGTTCAAATTATTTGAAAATTAAAAAAAAAAAAAAAGGGCTGGTGAGATGGCTCAGTGGTCTAAGGTACCTACTTAGAACAAGCTTAGCAAAGCACAGGGACCACGGTTCAATCCCCAGCACCACATGCCAGCCAGCCCCGCCCCCTGGTGGGCTGAGCTGGACACACACACACACACACACACACACACACACACATAAATAAATAAATAAAAATAAAAATTTAAAAAGGGGCGGGGAGATGGCTCAGTAGAATAAGCGCTTCCCTGGCAAGTGCAAGGGCCTGAGTTCAATCCCTGGTTCCGCAAAAAAAAAAAAAAAAAGGGGGAGGCAAATGGCAGGAAAGAATGGAAAGAGCACCAGAGCTTCCAGGGATGTCTGTAAAGTTCTACTTTGACCTTGGGAGTAGAAGCACAGATGTTCCATTTAGGATAAGTCATTAAATTGTATACTTACAGGTTTTGGACTTTATGGTGCGTGTTATAATTCACAGTTTCACAGGGTGTTTTGTTTTGGGTTTTAGAAGTGAATGGAGCTGACTGGCTGCTCCAATGCAAAGCAAACTGGGCACAGAGCAGGTACGGTAGGAAGCAGGGAAGCTGGGACCAAAGTGACCAGACAGAAATCTAGAATCTGGAAGTGGGGACTCTGCCCTGCCCCTGCCCCTGTGCACTCACCATCTGCAGGCCAGGTGAAGGTTGGAAGGGTAGACGGGCCTTGTAGGTGGGCTGCATCTGGCGTCCAGAAATAGGAGGTTAGGAAGAGAAGAAAATAGAGAAAGGCCGCAGATAAAGACTAGGGGCTTCCCATAGCATCTCAGCTTTGATATAATGAAATGACTAAAGTCATCCAGCCATTTATTTGCTAAAAGCTCAGTCTTGATGCCTGGGCCTCCCCTACGCAAGATCTGGATTCCTACATCAGCCACGCTAGCAGCTCCTTCTTGGGTATCTTATTGCCAGTTGGTTTTACTAAGACCCGGAGAAGTCTACATGTTCAGCTCAGTTTTCCAAATACTTTTGACCACAAACCAGCACCCATCCAATAAGAGCCCTAGAACTTCCTTGGAGGAGCATCCTTCCTGATTCAGTGGGGCTGGTACCCATGTGCTGGAGGTTGTCATGGGAACCAGGCCTCCCCAAACAGTTGTCTATGCCTGTCATCATCACATCACCCAAGACTTGCCAGTGGCACGCAGTTGTGGGACGTTTGGTGTATTGGGGAGATGGAAGTAGCTCTTGCTTTTGGATACTTAGCAGGCCTTTAGTGGCCATTTTGGCCCATAAGAGGAGAAGCTGACTGAAAATGAAGCCAACCTAGAGAAAACAGAACCAAGAGCTAACAATTTCCTGATAGCCCCTACACTGAGCCATGTCTGAAGACCTATCCTGGGACTTTTTAGTTACACAAGTTCACAGATTCTCTAATTTGAGCCAAATTTGAGATTTATCTTGGCAGACCTGTACGATTTCCTCACCTGGATCTTCTGTTAGAACAGGAGTGTTCACAATAGTTGGGTCCCCCGTAGGAAGGGACGAGACCTTCTCCAAACTCTGTCCTGGAGAATCAAAGGTAAGGTCAGGAGAGGGCTGCTGCTCCTCTTTTCTCACCTTCCCTCCCAGTCTGACCAACTTTTGGGAAGCGTGGGGGCCCCTCCAAAGGTCCTGCCCTCTTGCAGAGCCACTTAGCTCCATATCAATCTGTGGTCCTGGGAGCATTTTAAATTATCTTCGTGCCCGACATATGTCTTAGCTACCTTCCTGTCCTTGGGACAAAGGACCCGACTCCTGCAACTCAAAGGAGGGGAAGTTTACTTGGGCCACAATTTTATCCCTGGTTGGTGGGCTCCATGGCAGAAATGCCAGGTGGAAGGGCTGAGCGGAGGAGAAGGAGCTCAACCCACGGCAGCCAGGAAGCAAAGAGAGAAGGAGGGAGCATCTGGTGTCCAGAAGTAGGAGGATAGGAAGAGGAAAAGTAGAGAAAGGCCGCAGATAAAGACTAGGGGCTTCCCATTGCATCTCAGTTTTGATATTACGAAATCAAAGTCATGAAGCCATCCAGCCATTTGTTTGCTAAGAGCTCAGTCTTGATGCCTGGGTGCCCCCTACCTCAAGATCTGGATTCCAGCATCAGCCACGCTAGCAGCTCCTTCTTGGGCATCTTATTGCCAGTTACTTTTACTAAGACCCAGAGAGGTCCTGCCTACATGTTCAGCTCAGAGGGACCAAGGTGGTGGACACGTGACACAGGATTGGAGACCCTTTTCTTTGTGTGTGTGTGTGTGTGTGTGTGTGTGTGTGTGTGTGTGTGTGTTTAGGGAAGGGTCTACAGGGTGTTTCGGGTCTCACTACTAGATTGGACTCATAATGATCCACCTGTTTATAGCCTCCCAAGTGTTGGGATTACAGGCATGCGCCACCACACCCAGTCTCAGTTGCTATCTCAGCGCACCCTGGGGGCGGGGCCGGCATGGCAGGCTCCGGGGATAGATGCCCTGGTCCCGTTCCTGCTTGCAGGTGCTTTAACCCACTGAGCTATTTGACTGGCCCTAGGATTGGAGACCCTTTTACTACTCAGTCTCGGCAGCCCTGTGAAGTAGATCCAGTTATAATCCCCATTTGTAGGCAAGACAGGTGAGGCTCAGAGAGGGGACTTCACCTGCTCCGGGTCGCGGCCCCAGCAACTCACCTGCTAGGGCACCTGTAGCTGTAAACACACTGAAGAGGAAGCCACTGATGAGTGCAGCATTCCTTCCCAAACTACCTGAGGCTTCGGGGGGACATGTCAGACCTACACCATAACACCCTGGGACTTTCCTTCAGCTCTTGTCTGCACCCATCACTGGGGCCTCTCTAGTAAGCCCCAATGCTAAGGTCAGCCAGGACCCTGGTTTTAAGTGCTGCTCCCAGTGGCTTCCTTGCTGAATGACCTGGAGCAGCGGAAGTCCCCTCTCTGAGCCTGACCTGTCTTGCCTGCAGATGGGGATTATAACCAGATCTACTTCACAGAGCCACGGAGACTAAGCAGGAAAAGGATCTCTACCCAGTGATACTATAGCCAGTACTGGACACACCCACCGCCTCTGTCCCTCTCACCCAGAGTCCCAGCAGCCTCCTCCTCCCTGGTCTCTTTCCAGCCCTGCCCCTGCCATAGGCTCCCACCTGCAGCCAAAGGGAGCCGGTGCCCAATGAGTCGGGCAGGCCCCCAGGCGCTGAGTCAGCCCAGGCTGGATCTCAACTGGCCCATCACCCCCTCCCGCTGGTCCCCCCACCTCTCTGTGCTCTCCTCTTTCCACTGTTCCTCGCCCACCCAGTCTAGCCCCTCCACCTCCCTACCACCAGACAATGCCTACCCCCTCCCAGGTGCCTGCACAGCTCACCTCTGACCCAAGTGTCACCCTTCCCTGGGAAGTGGTCCTTGAGATCAGCCTGTTGGAGCAACCCCATGGCCGTCCTTAATTTTCCCCAAGAGGGCTATCACCTTCTCAGAAACTATACAACTTGCTGGCTTTCTGTCTTTGGCACTATAATATCCACTGTTTTATTTTCCTTCAGTGCTTAGATCTGGTGCATAGTAGATGCTCAGTGAATTTCTTTCTTTTTTTTTCTTGTTAACTTTCACAACAGAGTCAGTGAGTTCGTAGACGAATGTGCAATTAGAAGGTGTGGTCTGAAGGCAGGAAGTTCACTGGGACATGACCTGGAAGTACGTACTCTTGTCCCCAGTTCTTCCCTTCTCTCTCTGAGACCTGGCTGCCAAGGGCTGAGTGCCTTTTCCTCTGCTCGGCCCTTCCAGCATGGCATTTCTGCTTTGGAGCCAACCAAGGCAGCTGGCCTTGAACTCACTACGTAGTTCAGGCTGGCCTCAAACTAGTGGCAATCCTTCTGCCTCAGCCTTCCAAGCGCTGGCATTACAGGCATGCACCATTGTGCCCCAGCAGCAAATACCTCTTGAATAACTGAAAGAGTACAGGAAAACCAAAGAGAAATGGAGGTGTTTTCAGAGGAGCAAGTGCTCTGGTTTATGGAAAGGCTATAATTCTGGCCCCGAATTTCAGTTTCATGGTCCATAAAATGCACATGACAGCATGTATAATAAGAGCTAAAGCCCACACAAGTCAAGGCACATGGCACCTGCCTCGTGGAAAGCACCTGCAAACACCAGCACAGTGACCCCTTTGAGGAGCACTTTGCCAGCAAGGTTGAGAGGCCCCTACTGCCTGGACTGGCGTCCCCTACCTCCCCCATACACACACCCCCTTTACAGTGCATCACCAGGAGGGCCAGGGAGCCATTCTGTAGGGAACCCAGGTTTCCTGGCTGTGGACTAGCAAACTGACACCGACCTCCTGGCCAAATCAAACGGGCTGAGTTCTTCTTGGAGGTGAAACAGAGGGTGCTCAGCAGGAAAGGCGCCAGCCAGACTCTGGAAGGGACCGCCAAGGGCTGAGCTGTCCAGAGAGGGTGGAACCCTAAACCTGGCTAGAGGATCCCACTTCCCAACACAGGCTAAGTAGGAGGATTGGGGGGAAAAGAGACAGCCTGGAAACTCACCAGCCCCCAGGGCTCCGGGACAGGGTCTTACCTCTGACAGGCACAAGCAGGCCAACAATGGTGAGAAGACACAAGCGACCAAAGGGCAACATCTGTGGGGCAAGCAGGCACTGGGGTAGGTGTGGTGGGGCCAGGGGCCTGCAGCCCCGATGCTCCCCTCTGCAAAGCTGGTATCTCTGGCTTTAGGACTCCCCCCCTTGCTGCCAGGGCTGACTGCAAGCAGCCTTTGGGGCTCAGAAGTGGAGGTCTGAAGGCCCCCCCCCCCTTCCTCTTCCTGTAGCTCTCAAAGAAAACAAGAAGCCACTGGCCCACCTGGGCGCCGGCAGTACCAAGAGAACTCGCCATTCCCCCAGCCAGCCTCGGACCCTCACGAGGGCTGACAGCGAAGGGCAGAGGAGTCTGAGCAGAGCGGAAGAGGGCTCCCACTGCCTAGGGGCACGGGGCGGGAGCCTCGAGGAGCAGCAAGAGGAAGGGTGAGTAATCCACTCCTGATCACAGGGGAAAAAGTGAGCTGTGTCGGGCGGCACTGCAGACAGCGCGGAGCCAAGGCCGGGCAGCTCCCAGAGGGGCTGTGTGGCCGGGACGTGGCAGAACTAGGGAGACCGAGGCAGGAGGCGGGAACCGCGTGGCCCGGCGTGCAGAGGGACTGGGGCAGGCACCGGAGAGAGGCGGAGAGGCACCGACGGGCAGTGTCCTGCCCACCTGAGCCGGAGCAGAGGAGAGGGGCTGCGGGAGGCGGAGGAGCGCGGGGCAACTTACATCAGAGCCGGGATCTCGAGTTGAGGCCGCGAGGGGCCAGGGCAGCAGGAGCAGCGTCCGGGCGAGGGTGTGGCCAGGAGCCGCGGCGGGCGGGGACCCAGACGGGCGCAGTCATTTCCTCTTGGGTTTCCTGGCTTCGGAGCCCCAGAGCCCCGGGTGGGAGCAGGAGGGGGAAACGCTAAGGACTGTGGGGGGCTGGGGCGGCGGAGGTGGGAGGGCAGGAGGGGAAGGGGCGGCTCCGGAGGTGTGGAGGGAGGTGATGGGAGCGCGGGGGAGGCGACTCCGGGCCTGGGGGGGGGGGGGATGCGACTCCAGGCACTCAGGGGACAGCCACTCAGGTTCAGTTCTGCAGCTCCCACCCATGTGCCCACAGATGAGAATATACAGACAGAACAGGAGGAAAAACCAAATGCACATTTATTAAGCTCAAGACGTGGACACCGAGGGGCCAGGGAACGGATGCTCCAGAGAGAGACAAAGGGGTTGGGGGAGCAGCACATGGGCTTCCTGGGGAGCTGGGGGTGGACTCCCAGATCCCAGGAGCTGGAGGCCTGAGTCCCTGGATCTGGGGTGCACACAGGCTCTTTGAGGGATCGTCATTGCCAAGGCCTGGGAAGGGACAGCAGGGTGCAGTAGCTCCAGCCTTAGGGTAGGTGGAGCGGCTCATTGGGGGAGTGTCCCCGGCGCAAGGCTGGGGTCCCCACCGCCTTCACCGGGTCCGCAGGTTCCCGCGTCAGGCGGGGACAGCAGTGGAGGGTCCCTGGAGCGGGGGTTTACACGCCGCCACCACCAGGAGCTGGGGAAAGAGGACGGGCTGCGTTGGCTGGCAGCGAGGTGCAGCCTCCTCAGAGTCTCCTCCCGAGATAGAGGCTCCGGGTCCCCAGAGCCCTGGGAAATGTCACTCTTGGGCAGCACTGGGGACCTCTCTAGCGTCCTCACACCCTGCCACCTGCTCACTGTAGGGACAGCTCTGGGGCTGCTGTCCACTCCAAAGGGTGGTGGAACCCAGCCCCAAAGGTCACCTGGGGTTTTCTCCTGTTCTCTTGCCAAAAAGGGAGCACCCTACCCACTTTTTCACCCCCAGTCTCCTCCCAGGCCTTCAAGCCTTTCCTATGTCTTCCATCCTGTACATTCTGACAGAAGAGAATGTTTTTCCCAACCCAGTGCAGACCTCTCTTCAACTGAGGGTCTGGGGGATCAGTAGTCCACACAGATTTTTAGAATGGGCCCTACGCATGAGGGCCAAACACCCGCATCCACACTGCCCCCCACCAGCACCCACAGTGCACAGTTGATGTCCTCCAATATCCTTAGGAGAACATGAAATAGGAAGTTCCACACCTGACTCCTCCGAGCCCTTCTTTTTAGTTATAGCAATTGTATAACAGACAAAAAGATTCTTGTCTTTTGATTTTTTTTTTTTTTTTTTTTTAAAAAGGCCCCTGGAAATGATGCAATTCCACTAAAAACAGGTCAAGATATTTTTGTAGAATGGAGACTACTAACTCCCCAAGGAGTCATGGTCTCCCATCCGCATGCCCTTCCCTGCCCCCTCCCTCCCATGGCACCCACTGTACCCCCTCCATCCACACTCTCCCCCAACACCCCCCCACCCCTCCTTTCCATCCCTGCCTAACTTCCCTTTCCTTCTCCAAGCCCCCTGGGATCTCTGTACTTCATCGTGCCACCCTCTTCTACACTACCAGCCTTTCTCCTCCTGCCCCCTTACGACCTACCTCCCCACAGCTGCCTTCCCCAATGAACTTTTAAGTCTGTATTCCACGTATCTTTCCTTTTTTTTCTTTTTTTTTTTTTTTTCCGGAACCCGGGATTGAACTCAGGCCCTTGCTCTTCACAGGGAAGCACTTATTCTACTGAGCTATCTCCCCAGCCCCACATCTTTCCTTTTGTTTTGCTATAATTATTCAGAAACCCATTCCATCCCCTCCCTTCCACTCCCTTCCCCTCCCTTCCCCTCCCCTCGCCTCCCCTTCCCTTCCTCCTGCCGGCCTCCCTAGATTGGCCCAGCTAGATGATACATCTGGAAAGCGTTGGACCCTCCTGTGGTCCCCTGGGCTCTGCTCCCCATCCTGGCTGGCAGCTGTCCTCCCCCACCCCCCAGGGTCTCTGTTGCCCATACCTATGCCTCTCTCCCTTGGGCAATGGGTTTGTTCTTGCTTTTTGAGGTTCATGCGTTTGTTTCTGGCAATCTCTGCACTGTGGACTCAGCATGCTTCCTGTCCCACTGCCCCCTGGTGGCTTGACATCTTCCCTCCGCAGGGCTCAGCCGCCTCTGGAATTGCCCTTGTGTCTCAGTTGGGGCCCTAGGTTCTCTGTTGCGCGGCCCTTGCTCTGGTGTTGGTGTCTCAGAGGTTGACCCACAAGGATCTCCCTATCCACTGCCATCTCCCAACCTCCAGGGCCACATATGCGCATTCTTACCCTCACCTGTGGATGGAAGCTCCGACTTACAGGACTTGCAGGTGGGGCTGTGGAGGCAGAGAGAGAAAGAGAGCATCAAGGATTTGGCAGTTCAGAGCCCTGGGGCCCTTCTACCAGGGAAGCACCCCAAGGCCAGAGGCTGTACGCCGCCCCCCCCCATGCACGTGCGCCACCCCCCTCTCCTCACTGCGGCCAGACCTCTCAGACCTGGAGTCCGCCTTTCTGCACTTCACCTTCTTACCTGGAGAGAGAGAGAGAGAGAGAGAGAGAGAGAGAGAGAGAGAGAGAGAGAGAGAGAGAGAGCCTGAGAGAGAACCAGACACTAGAGACACAGGCTATGGACAAAGGCCGGCCGAGGACCCAAGGTGCCCAGGGACACCGGGGCAGCCCGGGAGGGTGAGACTTACTGATGATGATTATGATCCCCAGCAGGAACATTATGGTGGCCAGAGTCATGCCCACCATCTGCACAGTGGCATAGTCTAGGGGAGACAGTGGAGGTCAGGGCAGGGCTGGACCTCACGCACCCGGGGCCTCAGGCCTGGCTCCAGGCTCCAGAATCCGGGATACTGTGGGCACCCAGGAAGGTGAGCGCTGGGGTCGGCAGCAGCGTCGGGTCACTTTGGCCCCTGCTCACCACCCTCCTCCCCTGCCCTCTCCCTCATGCAACGGCTTCCTTCCTGACCCTGGTCCTGTCCCCCACTCCCGTCCATCTGTACCACTGCAGCAGTCTCCTCTGTGGTGGCACCACCCTGACCAACAGGGGCCTCTCCCACAGCATCAGGGTCCTACTTGGCTCAGAATCCTCTGTCCCTGGTTCCCACTGCACTCCAGGCAAAAGCCAAGGTCCTCCCCAGGGACCTTGAGGCCCCAGTCCAATGCATCTATCCCTCAGGCCTCTACTCCAGCCATGATGGCCTTCCTGATGTTTCTGGTGCACATCAGGAGCTGTGCTGCCTCAGGACCTTTGTACTTGCCGGCCTCTCCACCTGAAAACTTTTCTCCAGATAGCCAAAAGGCTTCCTCCCTGACAAACTTCCAGGATGGATTCAGATGCCAGCCCACCTTTCTCTGTCGACTTGGAATTTTCTTGTCTTCTCGATACTTTCTAAATCTATTTCTTTATGAGAACTATTCTTCTCTCATGTTCTTGTCTCATAAGAAATTTTCCTTTTATTTCTTGAGCATCTGTCTCTTATTGAGTGTTAGGTAAGGAGGACTGGCAGTTTCGTGCATACTGCTATCTGCAGAGTCGCCAGGATGCTGGGACGTTGGCTGGCGCAGAGCTCAGTGTGCTCAGGAAGCATTTGCTGAAATGCAAATTTGCAGAGCAACCACTGTACACCAGCTGTAAGCCAGACCTCTGGCCTCAGGCAGTCAACTGTCATATTATGATTAGATGGTTGCCAACAAACTGCAGTAGCAGACGAACCCCCTCAAAAATCCAAGTCACTGCTGGATGTGGTGTGGCTCATTGTGCCAGGGAATCAGGGAGGGCTTCGCCGAGCCAGCAGTCAATATTTGATCTGAGGCCAGGAGAAGACAAGGGAGCCCTAGCCAGCTGCAGGTAGTGCTAGGGAGGTGGATTCCTGGCAGAAGGAGCAGGGAGTACAAATGCCTTGAGGTGAGAAGGAAACGGACACATCAGAGGAACAGTCAGGCGGAGAGCAGGGGCATGTGTGGAGGAAACTGGGGCTGGAGCCTCCAAGGTGAGGCAGAGCTTCTGTGCCTCAAGGCAGCCCAGGGGCATCATCAAGTCGCTCTCCTCACAGTCCTCAGAGCCGGGCACTACTGCCACCCTTTATTTGAAGAAGGGCCCAGAGAGGCAAGTCGCCTGCCCAAGGCACAACTAGAGATTGGCTAAGCCAGGGGACCTAGGCTCCATAGCATTGCTTTTAAGATGCTCCATGCCTGCTTCTCTGATTCCAGTGCCCTCACCTGGAGTCCTGCCGACTGGAGCATACTTTCAGCACCCATTCAAGTCCCTGGAGCCTCAAAGGCGCTCCAAGACGGTATGAGACCCCTTTCCTCCCAGTCAGGTTCTGCCGTGCACCCAGACAGCTGATGTGACTGTACCCATATGGTCACATGACAGTGGCCCATGTATCATGTAGCTGCAGCTGGAGCCTTCAGCAGTGGCTGGTTTGGATCCACAGCTACCCTTCCATCCAGTCCTAGGGTACCCCCGTCACAAATTCTATACTCACCGTAGGAAAATGG